ACATTGTGGGAAAGATCTTTGTCTTGTGGATCAATTTGTTCTTAGGATGATTGCAAAAGAGTGTTTCTTGCCAAGTTTTACTCTTCTACCAGGAAAGCTACTATAAGGCAGAACATCTTAAGTTTCAAACAATCACATGATGAGCCATTCTGTTCAGTATGGGAAAGATTTCAAGGCTACACCCTGCACTGTCCTCATCACGGTTTCTCAACAGAGTCACTGCTCAGCACATTCTACAGAGGAGTGTCACCACGGTTCAAAACGCTGTTTGACATAGCCAGTAACGGCCACTTCTTGGGTACAAATGTTGAGAATGGTTTGCAGCTGATTGAAAACCTTGCAATGAGCAATGAAAACTACGCGGATGAGAATGAGGACACCTTCAAGAGGGGTATTGACTCTTCTTTTCTCCAGACACAGCAGGATGTGATTGCAATCAGTGCTAAACTAGACTTGTTGCTTGAGAAGTCTCTGCATCCATCACCACAGGTTAAGGAGAAGAAGTCAGTTCTTGGCAATGCTTACAACTTAAAAGCTGAAGCATACTATGTGCAGCAACAACAAGATGTGCACATACAATGCTTACAACCCTCAAGTGAACTAAAGGGAGAGTACTCCATTATATAACCAGCTTGGTGTTCCCATTCAACAGCACCATAGCTTTGTACCTTACCAGGATACAAGCTATGACACATACAATGCTTACAACCCTCAAGTGAACTAAAGGGAGAGTACTCCATTATATAACCAGCTTGGTGTTCCCATTCAACACCACCATAGCTTTATACCTTCACATGAAGCCCTTTAAGAGAGTATGTATGCAACCGAGCTTGTGCCTCAACATCAAGTAGCTGCTGCACCAGCCCATGATATCCCTATATATTTGATACTATATATTTGATTCATTTTTATACATTAAATTGGTAGTATTTAACTTTTTGATTATTTTGTTCATCATGAATCAATAACCACCACTTATTTAAATATTAAATAAAGAATTATAGATTTTCACAATTGATTTGTAAGTAGATTTCTTTTCATAGATGTTTTTATATTGCTTGAAGGTCGACACAAAGACTGTTTCGCCCAGAAAATGCAATTACAACAAATTATAAATTTATTCGGTCATAATAACATAATCAGTATATATTTTAAGCACTTGGAGAGATTCATACACAAAGAGCCCATAAATAATCTCTTTTCTTCAAATATTGGGTTTAGTTTGCAATCAAGTGCGGTCTGTCTGAAATGTATTTGATAAGCGTATCGTGACATACTTTTCCTTCTTCCACAAGATCGTGGCAACAAGCATCAGTGATAGTTCCATTTCCAAAGATAACACCGATCATATCTAATGCACACTTAGGAGTGATTTTAAGAAGACAAGTATCCCATAATAATTTTGCTTCACTTTCTTCAACAGAGTAAACAGGAACAAACGCACTCACTAATACTAAAACAAAGAAGATGATTGTTATTTGTGCGGTAATTTAAACCATATCTGTTTATAAGTTAGAAATCAGAGAGTTATTATGATGGTAGAAAAATCAATTGACAATACTATATATTTGTTATTTTTTAAAATGATATGTGTTAACTATTTATAAGTGATACAAAACATAAACATAACTATCAAAACACATTTGTATATAAATTTCATAATTAATACAAAATAACACTAAAATAACAACTATTAATGCTATAATTACTATTTATTTAAACGCCATTTAACTCACAGGAAACCAATATCCCGCAAATTTAGAATTTTGTCAACACTTTAAATGAGATATTCTGTTATTATTGCCAGACTTGCTTTTAAAAACTCTTTTTTATAGATAATAATATAAAGTGCATGAGTTACTCTAAACCAATTTATTTAGTGGTACACCTAAGATACTAGACATTTAGAACATTGTTTTAACTAAATAATTTTTTATATGTGCATAACATACAAAGCAAAGGTATAGTGGGAGAATGAGCATTACTAAATGCTGAAAGATGATTGGGCTTACGGCTTCTCAAAGATTCTTCTCGGATGTTTGCCTTTGGCTTGAAATGGCGTCTCTTCACATTTTCTTTATCTGTTTGGATTGACAGGGTTCGAGTTTATTAGCTAAGGAATGGATCTTATTAGGATAAGAAGGACGTCACAAAGGGTCCATGGGTTTGGCCTAAACTCATAAAGCTCCGGCCTAATGCCTATATGGTTCTGAGTTTTAATGTTCATATTGTTGTGGACACTTTTTTCTTGTTTGACGACAGGTTACAAGTTGGCATGTTGATTAAGATTACCGGAGAACATGGCATCAGGAATATGGGGGTTCCTAGACAAGCTAAGGTTTCTGATGTGCTTGTAGACACACGTTTGGGTTTTTGTCGGTACCAAGGAAGAGTGTATCATGAATTGTTAGCTGAGATTCTCTAGCAGCCTATTTCTACTGCAGCAAAAAGGGATTTTCTTCTCTTGTGGTATGAAGCAGATGACTACTGTAATAGTTAATCAGCTGCAAAGATTTGGGATCTGAACTCGATATGATTCTGTTCCGTAGGGGCTGACTCGTTTGGTTGCCAAAAGCCTTCTCGAGGTATTCTTTTATCTCTTGGCTTGCCATGATTAATCGACTAGCCACTGGTGCCAAAATGAGGACTTGTGGCACAAAGCAAAGTTATTTACTTTGTAAGGAGCGTGATTAGTCGAGACACTACCTTTTTTCTTGGCTCTATTCCTACGGATCTGGACTATCTAAAGAAGTCAGGTTCTGGGCACTGGCGATACACAACACTATGCTTATACTCTCTATTGTCTCAACACATCTAGGCGGAGCGTACATTACCTTATTCTCCTCAACTGTTTTTCCAAAGTTCGATCAACCACAACTGGCACAAAAGGAACTCATGAAGGCATAAAAATGGCGGAATACTCACAAACAGTTTACCGGTGGTTGAAAAATCTATATGAAACCGGAATGTATCATTCAATCACAATTTCTCTCATAAGCATTAATGACTTTATGAGATGGTTCAATGATGAGTCCAACGTCTGTTATTGTTTACACAATTCTATTTATTTATGTTTTTTTTTTAAAAATTGAGGTCTTCTATTGTAAATAATATTATCCGTTAACTGGTATATTTGATATTGCATTAAATAAAAATTCCAAACAAATGTGTTATATATAAGCTATTTTAAGATAATATTTAATTCATCTAAGAAAATGTTGAAACATAAAAGTGTAGTTTCAGTAAGTTTTTTAAACTTTTTATATTTTCATTCTTATAAAATTTAGTTGCTGAAAAATTATATAATAATCCTGCTTAAAATTTGGTTAATAATATTCTAAAATTCTGTGATTATTTAAATCATTCATTTATACTTTTAAGATTGGTTTTCAAAACTGCACAGATAATAGACAAGTTAAACTATTAGAATATAAAGTATATTGATGTTTATTTAAATGATTTTAGCCATAATAACTATTAAAATAATTTACTTAGAAATATCATGAGAATACTTGTAATTTGGACATTTTGAAACAATAATAACAAGGTAAAACGTTCATTTTTTCACAAAACTATGAGTATGATAATTTGAAGATATTTCATAAGAAAAATCAAATAGATCTTCAAATAGCAACAAAAGAAATTATTTTATTAACATATACTAATAAATATGACCAAACTAAAATTTTAAATATTGAAAGATAACGACTGATTTCAGTACAAAAGTCAATTTAGTGGTAACAACAATGTAATTATTTGTTTATAACTAATCATAAGATATACTAGAAGATATTTTGTTGTATTGCAACTTAAGTTTCAGATTTTTTTACATTAAATATTTGTTTTATTTTTATACATTAAATTGGTAGTATTTAACTTTTTGATTATTTTGTTCATCCTGAATCAATAACCACCACTTATTTAATTATTAAATAAAATATTATTAATTTTCACAATTGATTTGTAAGTGGATTTCTAATCATAGTTTTTTTTATATTGTATGAAGGTTGACGCAAAGACAGTTTTGCCAAAAAAAATACAATTACAGTAAATTATAAATTTATTCGGTCATAATAACATAATCAGTAAAATATTTTAAGCATTTGGAGAGATTGATACACAATAAGCCCATAAATCATCTCTTTTCTTCAAATATTTGGTTTCGTTTGCAATCAAGTGTGGCCTGTCTGAAATGTATTTGATAAGCGTATCGTGACATACTTTTCCTTCTTCCACAAGATTGTGGCAACAAGCATCAGTGATAGTTCCATTTCCAAAGACAACACTGATTATATCTAATGCACACTTAGGAGTGATTTTAAGAAGACAGGTATCTTATAATAAGTTTGCTTCACTTTCTTCAACAGAGTAAACCGGAACAAACGCACACACCAACACTAAAACAAAGAAGATGATTGTCATTTGTGTGGTAATTTCAGTCATATCTGGTTATAATTAAAAAATCAGAGATTTATTATGATGGTAGAAAAATCAATTTATAATACTTTATATTTTTTATTTTAAAAAATGATATGTGTAAACTATTTATAAATGATACAAAACATAAACATACCTATCAAAATGCATTTATATATAAATGTCATAGTTAATACAAAATAACACCATAATAACAACTATTAATGCTATAATTATTATTTATTAAAACGCCATTTAACTCACAGGAAAACAATATCCCGCAAATTTGGAATGTTGTCGACACTTTAAATTAGATATTCTGTTATTATTACCAGACTTGCTTTTAAAAAAATCTGTTTTATAGATAATAATATAAACTGCATGAGTTACTCTAAACCAATTTATTTAGTGGTATGTCTAAGATACTACATATTTTAAAAATTGTCTTAACTAAATGACATTTTATATATGCTTAACATACAAAGAAAAAGTATATTGGGAAAATGAGCATTACCAAATGCTGAATGATGATTGAGCTTACGACTTTTCAAAGATTCTTGTCGGATGTTTGCCTTTGGCTTGAAATGGTGTCTCTTCACATTTTTTTTTATCCGTTTCGATTGACAGGGTTCAAGTCTATTAGTTAAGAAATGAATCTTATCAGGTTAAGAGGGACCTCACAAGGGGTCCATGGGTTTGGCCTATACTCATAAACCTTCGGCCTACTGCCTATATGGTTCTGAGTTTTGATGTTCATATTGTTGTGGACACTTTTTCTTGTTTGATGAAAGGTTACATGGCATCAGCAATATGGGGTTCCTAGACAAGTTAAGGTTTCTGAAGTGCTTGTAGGCACACGTTTGGGTTTTTGCCAGTACCAAGAAAGAGTGTATCAGGAATTGTTAGCTGAGATTCTCCAGCAGCCTATTTCTATTGCAAGAAGAAGGGATGTTCTTCTCTGGCGGTACAAAGCAGATAACAAGTGTAATAGTTAATAAGCTGCAAAGAATTGGGATCAAAACTTGATGTGATTGTGTTCCGTAGGGGCTGACTCGTTTGGTTGCAAAAAGCCTTCTCGAGGTATTCTTTTATCTCTTGGCTTGCCATGATGAATCGAGTAGCCACTGGTGCCAAAATGAGGACTTGTGGCACAAAGCAAAGTTTTTTACTTTGTAAGGGGCGTGATTAGTCGAGAGACTATCTTTTTTTTTCTTGGCCCTATTCCTACTGGATCTAGACTATCAGAAGAAATCGGCTTCTGGGCACAGGCGATACACAACACAATGCTTATACTCTTTATTGTCTCAACACATCTAGGCGGAGCGTACATTACCTTATTCTCCTCACACTGTTTTTCCAAAGTTCGATCAACCACAATTGGCACAAAAGGGACTTATGAAGGCTTAAAAAGGGTGGAATACTCAAAAAATAGTTTACGGACTGTTAAAAAATCTATATGAAACCGGAATGTATCATTCAATCACAATTTCTCTCACAAGCATTAATGACTTTTCATGAGATGGTTCAAGGTTGAGTCCAACGTCTGTTATTGTTTACACAATTCCATTTATTTGTGTTTTCTTTTTAAAATTTGAGATCTTCTATTGTAAATAACATTTTCTGTTAACTGGTATATTTGATATTGCATCAAATAAACCAAATAAATGTTTTTTATATAAACTATCTTAAGATAAAATTTAATAAATCTAAGAAAATGTTGAAACATAAAAGGGTAGTTTCAGTAAGTTTTTAAAACTTTTAATATTTTCATTCTTATGAAATTTATTTGCTAAAAAATTATATAACAATCCTACTTAAAGTTTGGTTATTAATATTCTATAATTCCATGATTCTTTAAATCATTCATTTATACTTTTGAGATAGGTTTACCAAATTGCACAGATTATAGACAAGTTAAACTATTAGAATATAAAGTATATTAGTGTTTCTATAAATGATTTTAGCCATATTAACTATTAAAATAACTTACTTAGATATATCATGAGAATACTTGTAGTTTGGACATTTTGAAACAATAATAACAAGGTAAAACGTTCATTTTTCACAAAAATATAAGTATGATAATTTGAAGATATTTCATAAGAAAAATCAAAGAGATCTTCAAATAGCAACAGAAGGAATTATTTTATAAACATATACCAATAAATATGACCAAACTAAAAGTTTAAATATTGAAAGATAACGACTGATTTAAATACAAAAGTCAATTTAGTTGTAACAAAAATGTAATTATTTGTTTATAACTAATAACAAGATATATTAGAAGATATTTTTGTTGTATAACAACTTAGATTTCAGATTTAAGTTTGAATAAATGGATACTATATATTTGATTCATTTTTATACATTAAATTGGTAGTATTTAACTTTTTGATTATTATTTTCATCATGAATCAATAACCACCACTTATTTAAATATTAAATAAAGAATTTTACATTTTCACAATTGATTTGTAAGTAGATTTCTTTTCATAGATTTTTTATGTTGTATGAAGGTCGACACAAAGACAGTTTTGCCCAGAAAAATGCAATTACAATAAATTATAAATTTATTTAGTCATAATAACACAATCTGTAAATATTTTAAGCACTTGGAGAGATCGATACACAATGAGCCCATAAATCATCCTTTTTCTTCAAATATTGGGTTTTGTTTGCAATCAAGTGCGGTCTGTCTGAAATGTATTTGATAAGCGTATCGTGACACACTTTTCCTTCTTCCACAAGATCGTGGCAACACGCGTCAGTGATAGTTTCATTTCCAAAGACAACACCGATTATATCTAATGCACACTTAGGAGTGATTTTACAAAGACAAGTGTCCCATAATAATTTTGCTTCACTTTCTTCAACAGAGTAAACAGGAACAAACGCATACACCAACACTAAAACAAAGAAGATGATTGTCATTTGTACAGTAATTTTAGCCATATCTGTTTATAATTTAGAAATCAGAGATTTATTATGATGGTAGAAAAATCAATTGATAATACTTTGTATTTGTTATTTTAAAAAATGATATGTGTAAACTTTTCATAAGTGATATAAAACATAAACATAACTATCAAAATGTATTTGTATATAAATATCATAATTAATACAAAATAACACCACAATAACAACTATTAATGCTATAATTATTATTTATTAAAACACCATTTAACTCACAGGAAAAAACATCCCGCAAGTTTAGAATTTTGTCAACACTTAAAATTAGATATTCCGTTATTATTGCCAGATTTGCTTTTAAAAAATCTGTTTTATAGATAATAATATAAAGTGCATGAGTTAAGCTAAACCAATTTATTTAGTGGTATGTCTAAGATACTAGACATTTAAAACAGTGTTTTAATTAAATGATTTTTTATATGTGCTTAACATACAAAGCAAAGGTATATTGGGAGAATGAGCGTTACCAGATGCTGAAAGATGATTGCGCTTACGACTTCTCAATGATTCTTCTAGGATGTTTGCCTTTGGCTTGAAATGGCGTCTCTTTACATTTTCTTTATCTGTTTGGATTGACAGAGTTCGAGTTTATTAACTAAGCAATGGATCTTATTAGGATAAGAGGGACGATACAAAGGGTTTATGGGTTTGTCTTAAACTCATAAAGCAAAGTTTTTTCCTTTGTAAGGAGCGTGATTATTCGATAGACTACCTTTTTTTCTTGGCCCTATTCCTACAGGATCTGGACTATCTGAAGAAGTTGGCTTATGGGCACAGGCGATACACAACACTATGCTTATACACTTTATTGTCTCAAAACATCTAGGCGGAGCGTACATTACCTTATTCTCCTCACACTGTTTTTGCAAAGTTCAATCAACCACAACTGGCACAAAAGGAACTCATGAAGGCATAATAAAGAGTGGAATACTCACAAACAGTTTACCGGTGGTTGAAAAATCTATATGAAACCGGAGTGTATCATTCAATCATAATTTCTCTCATAAGCATTAATGACTTTTCATGAGATGGTTCAAGGATGAGTCCAACGACTAAGTAGCTAAGCGAATAGGGCAGCTAGTGAAGTTCAGAGGAAGGAGAGGTGTAGTTTATTGCATAGGTAAAAAGAGATAGGCAGGAACGCAATATATTTCCTATGAAATATTCTCAACAAAAAAAGTGCTCTCTGAACCGAACGTGAAAGTTTTTTTTCCATCAGACGGCTGTTCCTGTAACGATTGAGAGATAGAAGGCCAGGTTAGTGATGAAAGGACTTCCCAACTTACCTAGCGGAAGAAAAGGGCTCATGACTTGTACTGTAGTCGGCCCGAAATGCCTCGGTAGTCTTTCTAAAATGCCTTCTTCCTTCATTCATTTTCTTTTAGTTGCGGTAGCTTCGCTTTCGAAACCACTGAACTTGAGTGAGACAGAGGAGAGGGGAAAGCCTCGCATATTCAATTCAAAGGGCTTATTATTTATTAGCCTTTTTTCTCATAAGTAAGTTAGCGAGGTGGCAGGATTTACCACTATAACCCTATGGTAGTGATGGTTGGTCCCAGTACTCCTTCGAGTGCCTTTTTGTTATTGTTTACACAATTCCATTTATTTGTGTTTTCTTTTTAAAAATGAAGGTCTTCTATTGTAAATAATATTTTCTGTTAATTGGTATATTTGATATTGCATCAAATAAAAATTCCAAACAAAAGTGTTATATATAAGCTCTCTTAAGATAAAATTTAATGCATCTAAGAAAATGTTAAAACATAAAAAGATAGTTTCAGTAAGTTTTAAAAACTTTTAATATTTTCATTCTTAAAAAATTTAGTTGCTGAAAAATTATATAATAATCCTACTTAAAGTTTGGTTATTAACATTCTATAGTTCCGTGATTATTAAATCATTCATTTATACTTTTGAGATAGGTTTTCAAAATTGCGCAGTCATTAGACAAGTCAAACTATTAAAATATAAAGTATATTAGTATTTATTTAAATGCTTTTAGCCATAATAACTATTAAAATAACTTACTTAGATATATCATGAGAATACTTGTAGTTTGGATATTTTGAAACAATAATAACAAGGTAAAACGTTCATTTTTTCACAAAAATATAAGTATGATAATTTGAAGATATTTCATAAGAAAAATCAAAGAGATCTTCAAATAGCAACAGAAGGAATTATTTTATAAACATATACCAATAAATATGACCAAACTAAAAGTTTAAATATTGAAAGATAACGACTGATTTAAATACAAAAGTCAATTTAGTTGTAACAAAAATGTAATTATTTGTTTATAACTAATAACAAGATATATTAGAAGATATTTTGTTGTATAACAACTTAGATTTCAGATTTAAGTTTGAATAAATGGATACTATATATTTGATTCATGTTTATACATTAAATTGCTAGTATCTAACTTTTTGATTATTTTGTCATCATGAATAACTAACCACCACTTATTTAAATATTAAATAAAGAATTTTACATTTTCACAATTGATTTATAAGTAGATTTCTTTTCATAGATTTTTTTATGTTGTATGAAGGTCGACACAAAGACAGTTTTGCCCAGAAAAATGCAATTACAATAAATTATAAATTTATTTGGTCATAATAACACAATCTGTAAATATATTAAGCACTTGGAGAGATCGATGCACAATGAGCCCATAAATCATCTCTTTTCTTCAAATATTGGGTTTTGTTTACAATCAAGTGCGGTCTGTCTGAAATGTATTTGATAAGCGTATCGTGACATACTTTTCCTTCTTCCACAAGATCGTGGCAACACGCATCAGTGATAGTTTCATTTCCAAAGACAACACCGATTATATCTAATGCACACTTAGGAGTGATTTTACGAAGACAAGTGTCCCATAATAATTTTGCTTCACTTTCTTCAACAGAGTAAACAGGAACAAACACATACACCAACACTAAAACAAAGAAGATGATTGTCATTTGTGCAGTAATTTTAGCCATATCTGTTTATAATTTAGAAATCAGAGATTTATTATGATGGTGGAAAAATCAATTGATAATACTTTGTATTTGTTATTTTAAAAATTGATATGTGTAAACTATTATAAGTGATACAAAACATAAACATAACTATCAAAATGCATGTGTATATAAATGTCATAATTATTACAAAATAACACCACAATAACAACTATTAATGCTATAATTATTATTTCTCAAAACATCTAGGCGGAGCGTACATTATCCTATTCTCCTCACACTGTTTTTCCAAAGTTCAATCAACCATAACTGGCACAAAAGGAACTCATGAAGGCATAAAAAAGAGTGGAATACTCACAAACAGTTTACCGATGGTTGAAAGATCTATATGAAACCGGAGTGTATCATTTAATCACAATTTCTCTCATAAGCATTAATGACTTTTCATGAGATGGTTCAAGGATGAGT